GTTTTGTCAGCACCATTTGCTGAACATGCTGTCTTTTCTCCAGTGAATATTCTTGGCCCCTTTGTCAAATATCAGGTGCCAGAAATTTCATGTACTCATATTTGGGTCTTCAATTTTGTTCCATTGATCTATGGTTCTATATTTGTGCGAGTACCATGTTGTTTTTATGACTATAGTTCCCTTATAATGGTCTGGATCTTTTTGGTGTCTGTTGTGATGTTTCCCCTTTCATCTCTGATTTTGTTGATTTAGATTTTGGTCTTTCTTTCTTATGGGTAACTGAGCTAAGGGTCTGTCTATCTTGTTTAGCTTTTCAAAGAACCAGCTCTTAGATTCATTGATTCTTTGTATTGTTTTCTTTGTTTCTATTTCATTAATTTCTGCTCTGATTTTTGTTATTTCTTCTCTTCTGCTGGGTTTGGATTTCATTTGTTCTTGCCTTTCCAGTGTCTTGAGTTGCAGTGTTAGGTCATTCATTTGGGCTCTTTCTAATTCTTTAATGTAGATGCAGTGCTGTAAACTTCCCTTTTAGGACTGCTTTTAATGTGTCCCAGCGGTTGTGTTGTGTTGTATAGTCCTTTTCGTTGAATTCCAGGAATTCTTTTATTTATTTCTTAATTTCTCCTTTGACCCATTTGTTGTTTGGAAGTGTATTGTTCAATCGCCATGAGTTCATGTAGTACCTAGGGCTTTGACCAGTGTTGATTTTCAGCTTTACTGCATTGTGGTCTGATAGAATGCATGGAATTATTTCAATTCTTTCTGTATTTGTTGAGGTTTGTTTTGTGGCCTAGTATGTGGTCAATTTTTGAAAAAGTTCCATATGGTGCTGAGTAGAAAGTGTGTTCTTTGGTGCTTGGGTGGAATATTCAAAAGATGTCTCTTAGGTTCATTTGATGTACAGTATCATTTAATTCGGTAAGTTAATCATTTAATCATAGGTAGGTCACTTAACTTCTCTGTGCCCCAGTATCATCGTCTACTAAGAAGGAAGTCTAGTTCAGGTAGATGTTGTCAGGATTAAATGAA